CTTCGAAAGTCGCGAGACCACAGCTAAGAATGCTTCCAAGTGATAGCTCGGGCCACGTGCGGTGCTTCCTCGACCAGAGGTCTTTCACTAGAGACCAGATAGTATCCTGGCCCGGGCGGCGGCATTTTAGGACAATGTGTTCCAGGTCCTCGGGCTCATCACAGAACTGACAGATCCCACGGTCTTCGCACTCGGGGATATGTTTCCAGAAATCCCCGATGCGGTGGGCTGAGTGTAGTGATTTCCAAAGGAAGTTTTTGACTTGCCAAGGCTAGCTATCAACTTTCAACAGAGCGTGAGCTTGTGAAGGAGGATAGGGTTGCTTTGAAAAGGGTATAAAGCGTGAGCTTAAGGACTTAAGCTGCAAAGGGGTTAGAAGTAAAGTGCTGTGAAGCAAGTGAGTGGTTGTTATTGGGTGTAGACTAAGGTACACTGCGGAACAGTGCGGGGGAACCAATGTCTGATCGTAGACAACTGACTACTAGGTCCGTTCCCATCTCCCTTTTATACCTTTCCTCCTACCTCCTTTGGGTTGTGCATTATGTGACGAGAAGGGGCTGAAATGAGGTCCAATGGTTTCAGGTGGGTAACGGAAGGTGAATTGGTGAACGGCCTTCTGGGACGAACCACCTTTCAGCGAGTTCACAGGGGTTCCTAGAGGCGTGGGAAGCGTGGGCAACCGGGAGAGCCATCCTGGACATGGATTCGATGCTCTCCTGGTCGGTGCGTGTGCAGGAAAGAACTCCGCAGAGAGCGTCCCTTGTGGACGTTTGGTGAGCGTTGCGATCCCGTTGGAACAAGTCTCCCGTGGTGTTATGGTGCTTTCGTCAGGATGTATGGCCCGAGAGGACGGTCGTTCGGCCCCAGTGAATAGTCGCGCGGTGCCCTAAGGAACTGGTCAGACATTGTCTATTTCCGGCAAGCAGGAAGCCCAATCTGGATATTCCTTTGTCCCGAAGTTGTGTGGTGCCGGTAAGTCCATCGTGACACATGTAGGGTGCGTAGTACCCTCACAGCGCGGCAGGGCCCACGATCTATCTATCACCTCGTGATAGCTTGGCCATGACTCTAATGTGAAGAATTCAAGAATCCAACTCTCTCTGTATGGCATGCGCCCCACGTGGGGAATATGGACCTCTGTTAAATCCCAAAGTCGAAGTCGAGGGAATGATCTGCTGATCGGAAGGTTTTCATGCCGGAGATCGGATGGCGGAGCGGAAGTTACAGATCAATAGCAAACACCACAGCTGTTATATCCGTACGTCCTGAACACCCGAAGTGTTCTGTCACTCCCAGGATGTTCTGTACTTTCAGGAAGTTCCGGTGTCCGGATCTTCAGATGCCACCTGAACTGGGTTTTCATGCAATGAAGGATTACTGAGCGTTTCCCATTTTTAACTTCCTTATTTTATCGCACTCAACTCGAGCGGACTTCACCGCTCCGCATACCTAACTTGCGGCTTCTTCTGTTTCTGATTACCTTATATAGAAATGGACTTTACGGCCGTACATAATTATGACTTAGTATAAATATTCCATATGCCTGTATGTAACTTCAGTTTGTTTATTAACATTCTTGACTACTCGTCTTGTCCTGAACTCTTCCTTAACTTCCGTCCTCCGGAGTTCCGACTTTCATCGGAACGACTTCTACTCTCGCCAGTCCAGGTAGTACGCACACCTTTACCTAGGTAACGGCCTTGAGCACACGGAGAGGAGTGTGGGGCGAGAGGCTGCGATAGATACGTCAGTACGAACAAGGGCAAGGGCGAGAAGATAGAGATAGAAGGAAGGGAGTATAGTGTATGTGATGGAGGGAGCGCAGATGGGGAGAACGGACAAGAAAGACAGAGGTGCAAGGAGAGCAGGACACAGGATGCGGAGGACAGAGGGGAGAGTGCGTGGCACAGAGGAAAGAGAAAGAAAGAATGTTAAAAACATGGGGAAAGACGTGTGAGAGGTGCAAATAGGATGAAGTGGGGAAGAGAGGTACATAAGGACGACAGACGAAGGATGAACGGCAAAGGGGAGAGCCGACATTCGGGCGTAAGAGATATGTGGAGAGTGGGGATTGGCGGGGGGATGGAGGGCAGCGATGTGAAGAGGGCGGGAGTACGGAAAAGGACTAGTAGTGTGCCGCAGGGATGGATGGAATGGAGTGTGGGCGAGGACGGAGATAGAGGTGGGTGGGAGAGAGAGGGAATATATGCACGTGAGGGTAAGGGTCGGTGTCTGCGAAGAGGTGCATGATAAAAGGGCGCGGCAGGAGAGTGGATCAGGGGGCGAGATCCAAGGAGAATGCGCCCGCGGAGACATGGAGCGATGACACCTCAAACAAAGATGAAAGAGGGTGGTCAGACAGATGGCACAATTGGACGAAAAAACACAAAAGCACGTGAAGAAGGGAAGATAAAAACGCAGGTAAAGATGGGCAATCTTCCAGAGCGAGCGAAGGATACGGAGAAAGAAAGATCAAGATTCCCCTGGGTAAAAGACGCACTCGAAAAGGAGATGGAAGGCAAGGGAAGGCCTCCAAAATGACGAAAGAAACGATGAGGCGGATAACAGGCAAAGAAGGACGCTGCAGAAAGAGATGGAAGTGGGGAAAGGGATGCCCACCTATAACGATCCCGTGGGCATCTGTTCTTGCTGCTGGTGCTGCCGCTGCGTGCGCGGGTACGCGGGCAAGTGGAACTCAAGCATCAGAGAGGGCGTGGCAACTGTGGAGCGATACAATACAATGTCAGTAGCGTGCAGATGATGGGGAAGTGGAGGAGGAAGAGGGGAAAGAGGGAGGGAAAGGAAAAGACACAAAGCCGAGCACCTTGACGAGGTGCTGCATTGCGCCTGAATGAGCATAGACATCTTCTTCATGGGCGTGGGTTAACTGTCGAACAAGCTTTGGGAGAAGGCCCCCTCTTCTGTGTCCGCTCTGAGATGCACCTGACAAGATACCATGGCATGTAGCAGCTGGCGCCTGGGCAGCCTGGCCTGCACCGAGAGCAACTCCCCAAGAAACTTGAGGGAGACTACTAGCTCGATGGACTGCTCATAAATTCATGTTTCGCAAGTACACAGTGCAGGACACATGGGAGGAGCGGTCAAGTGGGCCTTGTTGGCAGACAGAAACAAAGAGAGAACTAACCCAACACAAGCAAACAAAGCAAAGTGCACGGACCCCTCCATCGTAATCAAGCACAATGTGTTGAAGAGTAGACTTAGGAGAGAATGTTCGCAGAAGATGATTTAATTCAGTGTACGCCTACGGCTTAAATACAAAAGAGCATCATAGCTAATAAGAGTCATAGAGGAGAACGGGGACAAGTAAACACCGGGCGAGAATAGTGCACAAGCTTTTTTTTTTCTCCTCCGTGTCCCAGAGCAGGACAACGGCATCGAACATTTAACGCGAGAGGTCGTGTAGTTCTGTAGAAAATAACCTTGCGGTGAATCCATTTGGCCCGAAGTTAAGGTCAAGAGGAGGTTGTACGCAACCATTCTTTCAGATTGCCCTAGTTCATACGAATCCTACAGGCAATGACAAATGATATCAAGTGTATCAATGGTATATGTATCATGTATAAGCTTCATGTTAATGCTTTTTTGATAGAAAGAGATTTCGGGAGGTGGTACTCATTTTTCATGTTCCCTCTACTTAATTTGTCCTATGCACCCACTGGCATTGACAAGCATGTGTTATGCCGTCTAGTTGTAATTAAATTCTCCCTGGGACCATATCTTTAATTCAACTTTTGATTCAACCTCCATGTGTCCATTCATCCGGTTCCGTCTTTGGGAGTCCTGAGTCTGCGGTTGTTCGTGCTATCAATACCTTTGGCCACTTCTGAGTCATATTCCTCGGTTAATTTATATCCACTTTTTGACAGGTTTGAGCGCCCCCATCCCCTAATGCGAGATCGTATTTAGTCTGATGGTGGTCTGCGTCAATTGGTTACTTTGGTATCCAAGCTCAAATTCATGTTGTCTCCGAATTTCGCTTTGCATCAAGTTGTAAACTGCGGTTTGTACTTATTTCTCTCAAAATTGAATTTGCCGTAATTTTCCTGATCTGGTCTCGGTTTATATTCTCCCAATGGGCTGTCCCTGTTCATTCCCCTCCATCGGGTTTATTTCGTAGTATTTTATTGTGGTTCCCATTGTAACTCAGATTTCCTGACTTGACTTCTCAAAATCCGAGGTTGAAATGTGCTGCCGCTCTATGGAGCCATGCACTAGGATTCATAATCTTAGTGATGCTGCCATTTATTTCAGCCGACGGATTTACTGCTATGTGGAGGAGGCGTCTTCTCAGATTCCACCCCTACGGTCTCTGTGCTCCCTATTTTTGTGGGTTAGTGCTCATCCAGAAGCCTCACTCACAGAGAACCCAGAAACACTGTTTCAGGGGCTCCTTTCCAAAGACTTATCATTCATTTGATACCAGTGTTGTCAGGGTCTAGGGCTTAAGCCGACCCAAGCCCGGGCTCAGGGTCGGGCTCAGAAATTGGCAGAGCCCGCGACCCTGAGCTTGGGCCCAGGTCGCTGTATGCCAGTCTAAGCATGTGTGAGTGAATGGTGAGTCTTTGAAAGTCCATCACAAATCTTATGGGTGTCTAAGACTTTGGACAATGTTACTTGTTTTCAAGGACCTTAGGGAGGGTCATGGAGGTGGAACGGAAGATCCCGAAGGTTTGATAGACGTCCGAGTTACTGTGGTTACATTCATTGAGACATCAGACACTTTATAGGAAGTCATTCTATGGCCATTTATCGCTGAAATACTCACCTCAATACAACCCAAATCAAAATTCAACCAGGCCCAGGCCTGAGCCCCGAGCCCGACCCGACCCGGGCTCGGGATATTCTCAAGCCCAAGCCCTTTTTGACCCTACCTAAGCCTGGGCTTTTAAGCCCGACCTGACCTATTTGACACTCCCAGCGACTTAGTCTTATTGATGTTCACAGATCACCTTGCCATGTTTATCTGTATCATCATCTGCTGCCATATGGCTTAGTGGCTATAGCGCGGGATGGCTGTGCTCCTTATCAGTGCCATCTTTGTTCCCGTGGCGTGGTGTGGGTTTGAATCCCACTATGGCCATTACATAGGTGTTTTGTTGAATTCTTTTTCTTTGTCGTTCCCCAACGTGTCTTGTCTGTAATTGTTTTAGGTCTGTAATCATTTTAACCTAAAACAAAAAGATTTGTCTCCCTTGTCATCCCTTTCGATGGCTGCCGAGATGCCGAGGCGGACCAAACAAACAGCCGCTACCGTCCCAAAATGGAAATTTAGACAACAAGCTATAGTTCATGGAAGTAATCGTTCCAAGGTAATAGCCCTCCCAGGCGGTGCCTGGATACCCCGGTTGATTGTCTCTGAGGCCTGAGACAGTGCAATGAATAGAAACTGTATTTTTGTGGACGTACAGTCAGAGGATTCAAGAGGTCCGTCACATGTGGAGCTGGAGAGGAGCTGGGGTAGGTGCTCACTCCATGTGGCCAAGATCTTGGCCGCGGCCAGCGGATCTTTTTCCGCTTGATCACCGTGTGGCAGCTGATGTGATTGCATCACATACAATACAAATAAACAGTCACGTCGCGTCGTTTGCCGCCCCAGTATTGCTCGCTCAACCAAATAAAGCAGTCACTTGCAGTTTTGAATCACAAACCAGGGTCTTACTTCCTTTTCAATCTGTTGCCTTGCTTATGTATTGATACTTCACTCAATACATCTGCCAGCACATTCATTATAGGAACGAGAATCAAAAATAAAATTTGCTTGCAAGTCAAGTTGGGTATAGAGGTTCAACCACTTCAGGCTACCTCAAATCAGACCTCATTAGGACCATTGCAGTCAATGAGTAAAGGGCCCTAAGGAGGTCCGATACCTGGTTGCATCCCATGTGTATGGGTGCATCCAGGGTGGTGGATGCATCCACCTTGGTCCCACCATGGATGCGCCCAGGCATCACGTCACCCTGCATATGGGTGCATCCAGCATCCCCCCCTGAGCCCAGCTCATTTTGGGGATTCCAGGGCCCTCATAGGGCCCAAATCGTGGCCCCTGCTGGGCCCTGCTGCGGGACTCATCCTGCCTCTTCTGGGCATGTATAGAGTGCATCATATCCTGCCTGTATGCATGTAGATGCTGGCTAGGGGATGGTCTCTGGTCCAGCATACAATCCGTAGCCCTGCCTGCGTGTGTACATTCCGTAGCCCTGCCTGCATGTGTACAATCCGTAGCCCTGCCTGCGTGCGTACAATCGGTAGCCCTGCCTGCATGCTTACAATCGGTAGCCCTGCCTGCATGCATACATTCGGTAGCATGGCCTGCATACATTTGGTAGCCCTGCCTGCGTGCATACATTCGGTAGCATTGCCTGCGTGTGTGCATTTGGTAGCACTGCCTCCATGCATTTGGTAGCCCTGCCTGTGTGCGTACATCGGGTAGCATTGCCTGCATGTGTACATTCGGTAGTATTGCCTCTGTGCATTCGGTATTCGGTAGCCCTGTCTGCATGCATACATTCCGTAGCATTGCCTGCGTGCGTACATGCAGTAACATTTTACAACCCCATAGCCTTGCAGTTACATCTGGTACCCTTGCCTTGCCTGTACTCGGTCCAGCTCGTAGTAGCTGGTAGCCTTGCCTTTCATATTGTAGCTATAGCATGCGATTGCATGCCTTATCGTATTGTTTGTATCACATTTGATAACTGAAAATCCCTTTCATGGATGCATCCAGACTCCCAGGGAGAAGGACCTGTGGATGCACCCATTTATAAGTTTTGAGGGGCCATGGATGCATCCATTCTGCATTTTTAACAGGCCATGGATGCATCCAGTGGGTACAAAAAATGATATGGATGCCTCCATGCTGTTTGCACCTGGATGCGACCACATACGGTGGATGCATCCATGTTTTATATTTTTTGGAGGCCTGGATGTACCCATATCCCACCATGTGGATCATGGTTGCATCCACCCCCCAGATGGGTGCATCCATGGGTTTTTTTATTTTATTTAAACACTGGATGCATCTAAGCTACTTGAGATAAGGGTTATGAGATGAATCTGATTGTCCTTGATGAGCTCTACAACTTTGGTTTTTGAGTCACAATCTTTTCTAATGAAGTGGCAATTTCGAATCGTGTTTGGTTGAGTATTCTCCATTTTGCGAGCCAACTAAGCTCCTTGAGATATGGGTCATAGACAATTATGAATATCCTCAAGGAGCTCTACAACTTTGATTTTTTGAGTCACAAACTTTCTAATGAAGTGGCAATTTTAAACAGTGTTTGGTCAAGTATTTTGAGTCATTAGAAACACTAGTTAGCCATTAGAAATACTAGTTAGCATTAGTTAGCCACTCGTTAGCCTTAGTTAGCTATTAAAAATACTAGTTACCCTACTAGTTATCATTAGTTAGCACTTGTTTGCCTTGGTTAGTCATTAGAAACATGAGTTGGCTATTAGAAATACTAGTTGTCACTAGTAGCACTAGTTAGCCATTAGCAATATTAGTTACCCTTAGTTGGCACCAAGTTGAGTTGCAAAATCACCCGCTCTCAGAAAGTATTTCTGGTTTTACAGGCCAATGAAACTGTTTCAAGGGAAATGTTGTAGACATCTTTTGAAGGCCTTGGCCAGCTCTACGGCTTTGGTTTTGGGTGCCAGTTACGTTAGTTGGCACTAGTTCACCATTGAAAACACTAGTTAGCACTAGTTAGCCTTAGGTAGCTATTAGAAATGCTAGTTAGCACTAGTTAGTCTTAGTTAGCCATTAGAAACACTAGGAAACCTATTAGAAATGCTAGTTAGCCTTAGGTAGCTATTAGAAACACTAGTTAGCTATTGGAAATGCTAGCTAGTCTTACTTAGCTGCTAGTTAGCCATTAGAAACACTAGTTATCACTAGTTAGCCTTAGTTAGTGCTAGTTAGCTCATTAGAAATGCAAGTTACATTAGAAACACTAGTTAGCTATCAGATTGCACTAGTCACACTGCGGGCAAATGCCGAGGCATGTGGACATCACATGCGCAATATGCATGTGATGACCATGTGTTCCTCATGTGTTCGGCATGCTCCGAAAAAAGGCTTTTTGGGCCTGGATCAATGCATGCTGAACACATGTGTCATCACATGCATATTGCACATGTGATGTCCACATGCCTCGGCATTTGCCCACAGTGTCAGCCATTAGATTCTATGAGCAACATTAGAAACACTAGTTAGCCTGTAAAACCAGAAATACATTCTGAGAGCCGTTGGTTTTGCAACTTAGGGCTGACTAACATTGCTAATGGCTAATAAGTGTGATTACTGATAAGTTAACTAGTGTTTATAATAGCTAACTAGTGCTAACCAGGGCTGACTAGTGATAACTAGTATTTCTAATAGCTTACAAGTGTTTCTAATGATGTGTAACTTCCTCAGAAAATTTGTGACTCAAAAAATCAAAGTTGTAGAGCTCCTTGAGGATATTCATAATTGTCTATGACCCATATCTCAAGGAGCTTAGTTGGCTCGCAAAATGGAGAATACTCAACCAAACACGGTTCGAAATTGCCACTTCATTAGAAAAGATTGTGACTCAAAAACCAAAGTTGTAGAGCTCATCAAGGACAATCAGATTCATCTCATAACCCTTATCTCAAGTAGCTTAGATGCATCCAGTGTTTAAATAAAATAAAAAAACCCATGGATGCACCCATCTGGGGGGTGGATGCAACCATGATCCACATGGTGGGATATGGGTACATCCAGGCCTCCAAAAAATATAAAACATGGATGCATCCACCGTATGTGGTCGCATCCAGGTGCAAACAGCATGGAGGCATCCATATCATTTTTTGTACCCACTGGATGCATCCATGGCCTGTTAAAAATGCAGAATGGATGCATCCATGGCCCCTCAAAACTTATAAATGGGTGCATCCACAGGTCCTTCTCCCTGGGAGTCTGGATGCATCCATGAAAGGGATTTTCAGTTATCAAATGTGATACAAACAATACGATAAGGCATGCAATCGCATGCTATAGCTACAATATGAAAGGCAAGGCTACCAGCTACTACGAGCTGGACCGAGTACAGGCAAGGCAAGGGTACCAGATGTAACTGCAAGGCTATGGGGCTTGTAAATGCTACCGAATGCATGCACACAAGCAATTGTACTGGATGTATGCACACAAGCAAGGCTACCCGATGTACATACACAGGCAGGGCTACCAAACACATAGAGGCAATGTTATTGAATGTACACATGCAGGCCGGGCTCCCGAATGCATGCAGGCAATGCTACAGAATGTACGCATGTATGCATGCAGGCAGGGCTACACTACCAAATGTATGCAGGCAATGCTACTGAAGGTACACATGCAGGTAGGGCTACCGAATGCACGCAGGCAATGCTACAGAATGTACGTACGCAGGCAGGGCTATTGAATGTACGCACACAGGCAGGGCTACCAAATGTATGCATGCAGGCAGTGGTACCCAATGTACGCTAGACCAGAGAACATCCTCTGGCAGGCATCTACAGGCATCCAAGCGAGATATGATGTACTCTATCCATGGCCAGAAGAGGTAGGATGAGTCCCAGCAGCAAGGCCCTGCGGGGGCCCTGGAATCCCCAAAACGAGCTGGGCTCAGGGGGACGCTGGATGCACCCATATGCAGGGTGATGTGACACCTGGGCACATCCATGGTGGGACCAGGGTGGATGCATCCACCACCCTGGATGCACCCATACACATGGGATGCAACCAGGTATCGGACCTCTTTAGGGCCCATTACTCATTGACCGAAATGGTCCTAATGAGGTCTGGTTTGAGGTAGCCTGAAGTGGTTCAACACAGGAATCCTGAGTTCCAATTCAATCGCTCTCGCCCCCACTCATCTTCGTCGACCAACAGTAACTCCACGGGCCTTGTTGTTATTACGAATTGCAAGCAGCAGTTTGCTGATCCGCTTATGTGTGTCGCCGGGATCTGCCTTGATAAATTCTGACTTGCTACACCCAAGCCTGAGAAAAGGTTAGCATATGAAGAGATTTCACACCAAAACACATACCTCTCATATTCATTAAAAATCAATTTGT